CGTGCGAGTGCAGCCTGCTGACCTGTTCGTCTTAGAGTGCGAACGTTGAATGTCGCCATGGAAACGGGATAGCGTGGCCTTATAAGGGACTTTTGCCGATAGGCGTCCGATAGGTGTTGCGGGAGGGTGGCTGCAGATGGTTCTACTCCAGTGGCATTTCGCTTGCTGTCTATTAAGCTGGGAATTATAGAAAGAAGGTTAGGAATGGGGGATGGGATGGGAGTAAGAGGAAAAGGTGGAAAAGAAAGGAGGCGCCAGCAGAAGCATGTTTTCGCTTATCCGCCCTGCTGTATGCAGCAGATAAGGCGACCCTTGATAATCTGCGCGACGGCCGATGCATGATGAAGTTTTTGTTTGAAGAAAATGTCATGGTTGTATATGGGCTGAGATACTGCCAGGGTGCCCAGACCTAGACAGGAGGACGATTAGGGTCCTCATCCAAAGCCTTGGGCTCAAAAGCCTGTCCGCAAGGCAGCGGGGAGGTGGCAATGATTTAGTTTTACAGAAATGGACGCCATCCCATTTCAAACCCCCAACATGGAGGATCAGGTGACTGAGTTTGTCTGACCTCTCACCACTGACCAACCTGGTAGGAGTAGCTCTCAAGGTGCCAGGAGACACCACTCAGTATAGCTCAATGGGTCAATGAGGTACGTAAACCGTCGCATCACGTTAAGGTCCAGTCTCATTGCGACGAGCTGAGCTTCTGAAGAGCTCAGACGCCCTATTTGTGCGTTCATATCCCCTGCAAGTACTATATCTGAACTAGTAGCACTGCGTAGTAGCGCGTTCAGTTCGTGATAGAATGTCTCCTTGACAGCATCAGAACTGCAGTCGGTGGGAGCATACGCGGAAATCCCGAACAAACAGCGGGCTGCTTTTCACCGAACATCGTTCTTAAAGTTCTACTGCTTGTGCATCAACTTTCTTAAAATGTTCTACATTGTCCGTGATTTGACTATCTCCAAAGTCACTGTAGTAGAAAATGACTAAACAGAAAGGCTAATCGGAAGCTCGGTAGGCTATGAAATGTGTCAATCCATAGTTGGGTAAATTCTAAGTCTTCCGAATATCCGAAACTAGTCGTGCTTCGATAAGATACGCGATCAGAGTCAACGACGATTCCGCTCACCAGACACAGCAGCAATGCCAAACGATCATGACGAAGGCACGTAGCTTTTTTAGAAAGTTCAAAATACTGCACATGGTACGTAATTCATTATCACGAAACGTACGTTAACGTAAGTTTAAGGTGAAGTGGGGACGCGCAGTCCAGGTTGGAAATCTGGCACTTGACTCTGTTCTATTAACAGAATGCAAATGTAACTGTTACTCGCTGGTAACGGAACGTTTAATCAGGTGGCAACTGTAAACGGTGTTTCTTTTTCCAGTTTTACAAATTCACATTTTTGATGATGCCATTGTGACCCATTCGTAGTCGATATCGTAGAATGCTGAAATATGCTCACATAGGCGCAAAGCATCGCTGTGGCATGACCACCACCAGTCAGGTGCGACCAAGCGGTACTACGAGAAATGTACGAAGATCCGAAGCGGTTACTTTAGCTTACTTTGGCCACCGGTATCAAGTGCGATGAAATCGGAAAGTGTAAAATATAGGTATAGATCGATCTTAGAGATTATCCCATTACAGCCTCGAGATTTACGATAATGATTCTCGGCAGACAAGAAAAGTATGAGGAAGACCAACGCAAGTCTTGTTCATGGAACTCTGGCACTGTAATGCCGGTACCAACGTTAAGCCGCCAAACTGGATTCAAACGGGCACCCCTAAACGGTTATTCGATGTAATGGAAAAAGAAGCATAAACTTGAGATAAAGGACTTGGAGAAACTTAAGGTTTGCATGTTAGCACGGCTTAGTATCTTTCTGTATGTCAGGGTAACGAAAGACAAGCAGAACTACGTTCAGTGAGTTTCTTTGTCTCACCCCATCCCTCTTCGCCTCCCCCTCTAACCACGATCTCACTATTTAGCATGTTAGATTTCGTATAGTAAATTATTTTTCTGCTGCATAGTAGCTGGCAGGTAGCTTACCGGAACGATGCACATTTGTTACCGGTAGCTCAGCTGGTTCCACCTGTCGCAGTTTATTCCCTTTTCTTTTAGGTATTGCGGCAAGTAGCTAAGGTGTTTCTCACCTCTAGCTGACGTGCAAGCTATGTGATAATAAACTATAGTCCAATCTATGTCAAAGGGACGGTAGTGCAGCGGAACGGAAAGGAACAAAGGAACTGAAGAACGTCGGATGAACTAGTTGGTGTAAACACTGCCAAGTACGCTCGTATTGGTGGCCAGAAGTGTACGTAACAAGCACCTCTATACGTTTGGTCAGTAAGATGTCAGTAGCAGACGTCCGCAACGTCGATGTGAGCACAGTGACAATAGCCATCTGGCGAAGTCAGGTATTCGGAATGCGTATCAAGGTACGCTGGCATCCGGGCTGAGTAAGCACCCACGTAACACCGTCGAAGATCACTGGTTGCATATTCGCCGAACGTTACTATCAGCAGGAAAGTCTTCATGTAGCATATCAAATTGCCAACCTGAATATTGGGTCTCTACACAGTCTCGGGAACTTATGGATGCTCGACGACGCATTCCGGTTAGAAGCAAATACAATGAAACACGTAAAAAGCTCAGGGCAAAACTGCTTGCTAGCTTGAATAGAGACTGCCTCGGAGATAGAAACGGCTACTGCCGTTGGTAATCATCCGTCAGATACGGGAAAAAGGCAGCAGGAGACCTGGTTAGCGAGATCATACGCGACGAGAGTTGACAGCCAAATCCATAGCTTGTCAAAACGCTTGGAACGTTAGGCCGAACAGTTGCAAAGCAGTTTAACTAATCTGAGTTATCACTTACTTTTTCGTCCATTGAGTGCCCTTATCCCTGAGCCGTCTCCCTGGAACCGCCCATGCGCGGAAGTCGTATGTGAGATCAGATTGTTGAAATTGCACAAGGCGCCAGGAGCAGATAGAATTTCCCCAGCCTTCTTCAAATTCGTGGACCTGCTCTACTAGATGATTTACACGAATTGCTAGTGAAACTTTGGGAGCAGGAAACTGACCCGACAAACTGGAGCCGCTCCGTCATAGTTCTAATTTTCAAGGTAGGCTCCCGTTCGGAATGGGACAATCATAGAGATCAGTCTGATCTCAACTGCCTCTAAATTGATTGCGTCTGTAGTCATTCACAGGCTGACTAGCATTCATGAAAGCCAGATCCGTGAAAAGCAAGCCGGGTTTCGTGGAGATCGAGGTTGCAGTGATCACATCTGCAGATTGCGTCAATTGCTGTAGCACGTCATGTTTATTGGCGACCCAATGTTGTCGCGCTTCTTGATGTAAACGATGCCTTCGATCCAGTGGATCGATGTGCCCTATGTGACTGTCTGCTGAGGAAAGGTGTGCCCGGTAAATATGTAAACATTATCAGAGCGCTGGACGCGCATAGTCCGGGCAGAGGGAGGGTTTATGGCACTGTCATCGCTCGTCAGTATCTCCAGCAATGCGATACAAGGTTGCCCGCTGTCACCTTTCCGCTTTAACTCCGCCATTGACGAAGTCATGGAAACGGTATTCGCCGGACACGACCTACAAGGTTGGACCTACTTCCTGGTGAGTGACTTCTGGACTTGGAGTATGAAGACGATATTGCCGTAATCTGTGGCAGCTCCCGAACGTGCCAAGCAGCACTGGACCAATTAGTATTCGCTGTCAATCATTCTGGGCTACGCTTTGCTATATCGAAATGCAAAGTCCTCCAAGATTGGCAGGGACCCACCCCTGCGCTGACGCTTGGTGGCGATCAGCCAGAAGTCATTCAGGAATTCAAGCACCTGGACAGCTATATTAGCACCCTTGGGATCGAAGATGAGGCTACGAACCGTATAGCAAAAGTTCGGTGTGCTTTCGCAAATCTCCGCCACCTGTGGGACAGACGCGACGTCACTCTCGCCCTGAAGGGCAGTTTATAGTGCAGCTGTCTGTTCAATCCCTATACGGTTGTGAAACCTGGCCCATCAGGTCGACCATCGCTGCTTTCGCAGCTTAGACCATGTCTGGTGGGAGCACCACGTGAGCAATGAGGGTGTTCGGTGTCAAGTATTTGGAGCGAGAGAACCATTCAGCACCATTATATCACGTACCAGTCTCTGATGGCTGGGCCACGTGTTGCGCATGCCAGCATACCGACTCCCGCGAGGCGTATTGTTTGCGCGCTGAGGGTGCGGTTGGAAGAGGGGGGTTAAGGGATGATTTAGTCGAGAGGAATGAAAGCCCTCACCGAAACTGGCATCGGTTGGTGCATCCTGACTGCCTGGCTGGGGTCCTAAGGGCGATGAACGTTTGGTTGGACAAACTTGCTGATGTGGCTAGGAGCCGGCCCCAACAGCGTTTGTGTTGTTTTTGTCCATCCCCTCTACCTTAGGTTTGCCCTCAAATGCCGATCTCATAGAAAACGCATAATATAATCTTTAACATCATATTACGCTTTTGGTATCGTATCATTTCATATTGCAGCACATTAGATGAAGTGTTTCTCATTCTCAACGAATATCTATTGATCTTGATCTGAACGTGCCAGTACGATCCAAAATATATCCAACGATGTGAAATATTATAAACCACAGGTAGTATGGTGGATGGGAGAATGGAAACATGACGCAGTCAATTAAGTTTTGGCAAATATGAATGACATGAAGTCACGGCTAAGAAACCGCTTTCGATTGGAAGCGGGCCGCTGGCGGACGGAACCAGGCTAGGATAAGTCGCGAGTTCTAAGCGGGTGACCGGTGAGAGGAACAGCGACATTAGATGTAACCAAACAGCAGCGGGCGTTAGAATCTGAAGCGACAATATAAAGGGATTGGATGTAGAAGCCCAGCAAATAAAAGGTGACTGACTTTGCAACAGGTTAATAGACTGAGTCGCAAAAATCAAATGCATGATACAAGTAACACGGAAAAAAGAAATGTACCCTTTGGTATGATACAAACGGCACGGAATTGTGCTTCAGGGCCAGTTCCAATTGCATGTTTTCGCGCAAGTCTAACTTGGTCCCAACTAATATAATCGGCGTATTTGGAGCATAATGAGAAACTTCCTTCCACCACTTCGCCTCCACGTTTTCAAAAGACGATTCGCTCATCAGAGAGAAGCAAATGATGAAAACGTCAGTTTGGGGATATGATAGGGGTCGAAGTCGATCGTAATCCTCCTGGCCTAGAGAAAATCAGGAAAAAAAGCTACGTACCGGCTGTGTCCCAAAGTCCCAAGTTGACCGGCTTGCCATCAACCATGACGTTGGCCGAATAGTTATCAAACACCGTCGGCACATATTCCCCAGGAAAGGTATTATTAGTGTAGCTAATCAATAAGCAAGTCTTGCCAACACCACCATCCCCTACGACAACGCACTTGATCGCCTGCATCCAAAAACTTCTCCACTGCAAAACGGAAAGGACGTGAAAACTCAATGGGAGGCGCGCCAACGATCGGTCGGAGAAAGGTGAATTTGCGGTTCCATATGACTGCAATTTGCCAATAAATTACATAATGATGATGTACTTTGATGCAATCATAAAGCAATACAGACAAAATGCAATCTACTTTGTATAACTTCCCACTCAGCACCAGTATCTGATGAGCGCCCCTTGGAAATCCGATGGGCGCCCGATGGGTGACCGATGGAGCGCCCGATGAGTGCCCAAGTGGCAAAAAATTGTGTCACTCATCGGGCGCTCGCCGAGAAAAATTGTGCGGTTCCTCCTTCAAGCTCCCGGTTTCGCCCAGATTTTGCTCCGTATGAATAAGCTAGCAAACTTACCTGCTCTGCCAACACCTTTGATTGCGCGTTATTACAATTCCACACATCAGGGGACCCTACCAGCACGAAACTCCGACGCCAGGCCGCTCAGATTCCAAAATAAGTTCGAAAGCTACGTTTCGGACTGGCGGAGAAATCCTCAGCAGCACTCCCCCTTTACACTCCTTTGTGTATTCCTAAAGGCATGTCATTAGATTGCCTATGATCTTGGCCTCCACGTAGCCATTAACACAACTGGTGCATGCGATTCAGTCAACTTCGTCATGAAGTGTGTGAAAATGCTCACTGGAACACAGCGAAAAAAGGAAAACGGCAAAACCACCAAGACCCACCGCTCAACCACGCGATACATCCGGTGACGCCGATTAATCCGAAGGTAACCCTGCCAAGATTGGAACGCCGGACACCTACACTACGAGACGAGTGCCCTACGACTAGACCACTGAACTACGTTGACGGGTCCTCACCGCTCATATTCCTACCAGCAGGACAGTCTGCTTTTGTCACATATCCACGCAAATCTGTTACATGTTGAAACTAACGTCGGTGTCGACGATCACTCTTGACTCTGCAGGGCCTCCGTTGAATCCACGGCTGCTTTATGGCAGCTGTGCCTTTCGTTAAGCGGGCATTACTTGCTCACCGATAACATTGCGTGGGAAGAGTCTGCTGGTGGTGCGACGTTTCACCTACTGGGAGTGCGATCCTGTACGATGATCGCGCTTTTATGGGTGATACCTATAGGGGTCTCATAACCGAAATGTGCGGCATACATGTACCAGCAGTTATGCATAATGTGGGTGTGAATACTGCATTCACGAAGTGAACATTTATACTATCTTTTAATGAGTAGTTTGTTTATTCTAAGAAGTTAATGGAAGGATCACCGAAGTTTTCAGTCGCCGTTGGACAGTTGATATGGCTATAAGCCGATTTCATGGGCCATATTTTACGAACGCCCGATGAGTGTCCTGTATCCTGCGCTCGAGTGACAGATGGTGCTGACAGGGCTGCTTCAGTTACGGTTTGCAGCTTACACAGGACATTGGAACATGCTACCTTTGGAACATTGTATTTAATGGGAATAAAACCTCCAGCTTTATATGCCCCATAAGGTAAACGGAGTTTGGGTTCGTCTTATGAAAGACCAAGCGAACTTATAGCTGGTTGGACTAGCGTGTTAGTCGTATTTTCATCGGGCTTTCCGGCATTTAAACAGCACGCACGCCTGTTCATAGCGTGACATCACCTCAGGCCCTCCGAGACGGCTATGGAAGGAAATTAGGTAGAAAAAGGAAAGAAACCAGCAAATGGAAGGTAGTTATATCAGGGCATATCGCGGAGTAGCTCTATCAGATGCCATTTCAGGCGGGTCTTAAAATCCGCCACAGTGGTTGCCAAGGCTAAATCGGCAAGCAGAGCATTCCAATTTCGGCAGATTCACAAAGCGAAGTAGTGTCCCCTGCACTTCAGCCGACTGTGCTGATGTGTCAGCCATAGTGGATGTCCACGTAGGTGGGAGCACTACTGATTCAGTTTGAGTAGGTGGCGACAGGTATCATTGGATCATTGTATGATGGAGAGCACAATGAAGTTCCTTTGTCAACTCCGTCACTTCCCATTCGTTTCGGAGATAGCCTGGGTCATTGAGGAACAAGGTCTCGCATAGAACCACTGAAGCTGCATTGGAAACAGCTGGATCCCCGTAAACTAAAATGAGAATCCAATAAATGCTTGAAACGTTCCTCGGTCTCGGAAACGACGATGGACCCCGGAATGCGGTTCCAGTCATCCACAACGCGCGTTGATAAAGCCACGCTAGTTTGCACTCGACCACTCCTCGGTTTGAACACTTTCAAACTGTGGCCTCTTGTTGAACTCGCTGTGTTGAGATGAAAGCATTTCTGTGATTCCCTCCCCAACTCTCCTCTAAGAATACGTCGGGCGAAGATCGTCTCCGCGACGACGACGGTACTCCAGGGAAAAGAGGTTCAGTTGTTTGAGTCGGCGAGAATAAGACAGGTCCAGCAGATCAGGAACCGACTTGGATCCACGCCGTTGAACCTTTTCAATCATTTCGCATTCAAATTTCGTAAGTGGGTAGGCGGAAAGTAGCCCGTATCCGAGAAGTGGACGTACATGTGAAGTAATCATGATTCGGAAGGTCCCCGTGGTCAGGCGTGCGAAGGCTCTGCGTATAGAGTGAAACATCCTGTAGGCAGCATCGACCTTTTCTTGGTATCTTCTTTAGATTTAAGGTCAGACGAAAGGGTCACTCCCAAATCCCTCTACTGAGTGGCGTTTCTGAGCACGGAACCACCAATATGGTAGATTCCAAATGGGGGAGAGGCACCAACGGAAAGGACAGAACACCTCGTATGATTCAATGGCAACTGCCACTTAATTGCCCAAGCACGTAGCTGGTCGAGTGTCAATTACAAGCTGTCGGCATTTTCCATACTGGATACCTCCAAACACAGCTTCAGATCGTCGGCGGAGGTTAGGCAATCCGCTTGTAGTGTGGACGGCAAGTCCTTGATGAAACGGTTGAAAAGCACACGGCCGAGGACAGAACCTTGTGGGATTCCACTAGGCATGAGAACAGGGGCATCGTGCGGTCGCGAAGGAAAGCACAGATCCAGGAGAGAATATTCCCGGCAATACCGATTCCCCGGAGTTTAAACAAAAGTCGTTCGTGCGGGACCCTGTCGAAAGCTTTGCTGAAATCCACAAACACAACGTCCATTAGTCTATCGAAATCTAGCAATTTCGCACCATTCTCGTTAGCAACTAGTAAGTTCGAGGTACACGAGCCTGCCCTGCGAAAACCGTGCTGTGAACAAGAGAAGAGATTCAGATAGAGATGAAGAGCCTGCTTCAAGATCCGCCCCATAACCTTACACTATCTCGACGTTAAGCAGATAGGACGATAGTTGGCTGGATCTCGCCTGTTCCCTCCTTTGTATATGGGTTTTACCATGCCCACTTTCCAAGCCGAAGGGAGATGCCCAGATTCAAAGGAAAGACGGAGACACTGACAGATGGGAGGGGCGCTCTACTGCGCCACAGTCCTAAGGAACAGGGGGTCAAGCCATCCGGGCCTGGTGAAGAAGGCGGAGCTAATTCATGGAGAAGTTTAACCCCAGAATTGATGTTAATGTCTACTTGATCCAACAGAGAAGAAAAACTGGGCACAGTGTTACCGCAGGCGAGAGCTACTTTCGCGAAGACAGTGGCGTACTGCTGGACCAATGACTGACTTTAGCAGAGGCTTCATAAAGTAAATCTCGATGTTGAAAGGAACACAAGGCAAGGAGGCCACTGTCATCCCTGGTGCTTCTTGTCAGATAAGAGAAAAACATTTTGGGTGTCGTTTTGGAATGTGATGCTAATGATAGCTTATATTGCGGACGTTTCTGCCGCTTCAACGTGACCCAACCATTTCTGGTAGACTTGTCCCACAGTTCGCGTCTTCTGTTCATCAGAGATCACCATTCACTGTCAATCCAAGGTGGACATCCCTTGAATGACTTTCTACGGGAGAAAGGAACGACCTGCTCAATTAGAGAAGTCATTTTGGAGAGCGCAAGGTTCCACGCATCATCAAGAGTAATGGGATCAGTAATACTCCAGTCCATAGCGCTTGCAGCTGTGCTGAGACGGAGGGGATCCGCATGCCAAATGTTCCGACGACAACCACCTTGGCTATGGATCGTGAGGCGGCGAGTCCATTGGAATGAAACGACACAATGATCACTTTTGCCGATGGGATGAAGAACCGTTAGATTCGTGACATCTTACCGAGCTGGGGCGAGCACAAGGTCTAGAATGTTTGGCGATTGTCGGAAAAAATGCGGGTTGGCATGGTGACGTGTTGAACCAAATTACAATCGATGACGATCTCAAATAATGTAGCGTCAAAGGAATCAGGGGGACGACCACAAAGAAGTAAGCCCCAGTCGATATAAGGGGCATTAAAATCCCCCACGATAAGTTTGTCCTTTCCCGCGCCGTGTTTCCTGATTAATCGAGCAAATGAACTCCGGATCCCGGTGGCGCTCTGTAGACAACACCATTAGCGTAGGTTCTCCATCCATTTTGAGGACGGCACCAAACGGCATCAAAACCCCCATCGTCGCCACTGGTAGCTGCAACCAAATGGGCCATGCATTCGGCCTTTCAGTAAAGTATGACGTCGTTACCGGGCCTACTTCCAAGGCGATCGGCTCGACGGAGGCTATTTCCGGGGATAGAAACATCTGAATTTCTGTTGTCCGCAGAAAGCCAAGTTTCGGAAAAGGCCATCAAATCTGGGCGAGTAT